TCAGTAATTCCATCCGCGATCCACACACGCAGATGCTCGTTAATTATATAAATTATATCGAATAAACGACTCGATTGATCAATTCACTTTCAATAAAATTCTGCTAACGAATTAAACGTAATTACCGGACGAAGATCCGAGCGCAAAATGGGCACAAGGTGGAGGACGCGACAAAAAAAAAAAAAAAAAAATATATACGTGGCTCCGCGACCCACGCGACGATCAACGGCGCGCGCTCATTATCCTCGTTAGAACGGGGCTCGTTAAGCAGCCTAATCGCTGATTGATAATTACACGAATTAGACCCCGCCCCGTTTAAGGCATCCTCTCCAATGAAATTGACATTGGTTCCTTGTTCGGTTCCCGGGTCGCCCTAAACGACGCGAATTGACAGATTAATTGCGCTAATGCCCTCGTCGTCGACGTTGCCAACGACGTTTTTCTTACCGAACTCACGCAAATACAAATCCGACACGCGATCGTTTTCATTCCCGCGCAGTCGCATCAACGTAACGTAATTATACACTTTTTTTTCTGATTGAGATCTATGTTCTATTAGTTTCCACTTGTTACACACGCGGTCGAATTAAATTGCGCGCGGAGAGCAATTCTCTAGCTCGCAATTTCATTTCGCTCATATTTCAATCGAAAAGGCGTGTATCGGCGATTTTATTACTTTCCCCGACCTGTTTGGCGATTTCCTACTTCCGAGTCACGATATTCTCTTCGCGTTCCGAGAACGGAGAGTATTCTTGTATAAAAAATTTAAATAAAAAAAATATATTTTTGTATATCACATCAAAATTTTATTTATTGTAATAATTTTTATGTTTATTTAAGTTAGGCTTGAAGAGCTTTTGTTATGCTTCTTTTTGGTTGATAAATTTTTATCTAATTTCACGTCTTTAACAAAGTTATTATTTTTCTTATATTAAACGGAGAATTTCTTTCAATCTTGAAAAAGAGCTTGGGAGTCGCGAGACCTTTTTTTTCCTTCTCCATTCTCGAAATCGATCGCTCTCGAGATGCTCTACGTGACGAAATACAACCGCGATCAGCAACTTTTTTTTTCAAGTGTCTCGCGAACAGGTTACAAAGAACCGACTCCGTTCTCCGTGCAAGAGGGATCGGCACTGTTTATCATCCGGGGACAAAGCCGGCACTGTGTATCGCGAGCTCCCGATATATAGAGAAACCATTGTAACGGGAGCATCTCTCGATGTGGCACGGGAGCGCCACGCAATACTCATCTTCCTCGCGTCGGGGATAAGCATCGGTCCCGATCTCTCGCTCGATGTTGGACGACGACGTATGTATCGCGCGAAGCACCTACATCGGGGGTCGGTCGCGAGAACGCGATCGCGCTGTCATCGCGCGGAAGTATAATCGGGAGATCGACGCGCACTTCTGTTTTCTCCTGCATTCTCTCCTTCCACGAAGATTTTCTGTCCCTTTGTATTCAGCAGCGAATAATAAATTCTTTTTGATGTACGTTTTTTTTTTCAAGAGCGTCGAGCGAAAGCCGTAATTTATTTCCGAGTTCGTTAATTGAGACCTCTCGTTAATTAGTTCGCGATACAAAGTTCTCCGCTGTGAGACACGCGGCCCGCACGAACGCGGCGGAATCGCGGCTGTCTGAATGGCAGCCCCGCGATAACTTCCACGGAATTCCCATTCAGGACACACAACGCCGCCGTTAAACACGGCGTAAAAGTCCTTTCCTCCGCTACTAATCTCGCACGCCGATCAGCGCGGGGCCGCAATTAATTCAAGCACCGGCACGAAGTCATTACCGACTCGGCGCGCGAAACGAATTCCGCAACATTCGCGATTTTTCGTCACGAGAGAAAGAGAGAAAGGACGCGGAGAATCTGAGAATAGGATTCTCCGTTCAAGAGATTAACACGAAAACAACAACTCGCGTTTGGACGATTGACATGCATTTTCTGCAGCGGCGCGGCGCGGTGTTTCAAAAGAGAAACATATACACGCTCGCGCGCGCTTAAATAAAGTGCAGTCGGTCAAACACGCGCGAACGCGAAAAATCCCGACGCTTAATTAAACGCGACGACGGCTGCTAACGTCCGCGTAATTATATATCCGTCCCTCGCTCCGTCGTACCGCAACAATTACACACGAGGGCGTTGACCAACGATCGTTTTAACGAGGCTCAATTGCATAAATCTTGCGGCCGTCCTTCGTGCACAAGTTTCGCGAGCAGATCCTTCTCGTCAAATTGAAGCTGAACAACACGGCGCGCTCCGCGCCGACTGCGGGGTCAATGGACACCCACGAAGAGAGCGGTCTCTCTCTTTCTCTTTTTCTCTCGTCAATTAAACATCGGGGAGTAACCCTGTAATTATATGCGCGATATGTCCAAAGAAATTTACAAATCCGTCTCGTCGAAACGCGCAATTTATCTCAAAAACCGAGACACCGCTCGCTCGACACTACACGAAAAAAAAAAAAATTTTGCTATTGTATGGTCGGCAAGAAAGACTTGAATTTTGGTTTCAAAGTGTTTCTTTGGCGAAATGATAAGATTAACAGCAAATTTTTCTCACTATAATAAATGTTCTTCGGCAACTAATTTTTTGGCAAAAATTTTGTTTCCACGTACGAGGTGAAGTTTCTGAAAAATCGGCGGAAGAAATAATATCCTACGCGTCGTAAAGTCGGGCGTTTGTTAGGCGAGCCGCCGCTTTGACTGCGAAGCGCGCTGTGGATCGATAGAGAGACAGTCTTCGAGATTTTTAGCTTCTCTCAATTATGGAAAACAACGCGCTTGTTAATTAATCGAGAAAATCGATTCCACTCGCGCGCGGAATCCCGAAATTAATGTTCGCACGAATGGTCGTTTGAAAATGTCGAGAAATATGAGGCAACACACACACACACACACGGAAGGAAACGCAAAAACCACACTAGCGTCCTTTTCGCGCAGCAACGCTTGATAAGGTTCGGAGAACAGTTACGCTTTCTAAATCCAGTTTGATCTCTCGCCTTCTCTTCCTTCCTCGTTTCTTCTTCTCTTAATTAGCGACAAATGTGGAACGTGAATTTTTGTCGTCTGGCTATCGGAATATTTTTCAAGATATCGAAAAAACAAAAAAAAAGACAAGCTTAAAACGCACTTGCTTATCTTCCTTCAAACGATGAAGCACATTCATCAGCGGAATGCAAAAACTGTCGTTGGAAAACGAGTCTGAATATCGTCGATAAAAAAAAAACTTCTCAAAAAATTCATAGAAACGGAGAACTCGAAAGAAACTATCAACCGCATTTTTATCAACCGCGCCGCGTTATCGGCACGTCCTTCGAAGGAAATGACGTTTCTCCAGAGCGAGAAAAACCTTGTCCTGATAACGTCTGTCACGTCAGAAATACCAAGATGAGAGATCACACACGATGAAGACCGACCGACTTAAAACAAACAACTTGTCCCGAGAACTTGTGACCTCTGATTATCTTTACTGGAGCGCAATCGATACAATCGTTTATTTATAAGACACTCAACCGTGTCGTAAATATTTTGCCGGTTACGTTCGCGGCGGTGTCAACGGAGTCGTTAGCGGAGACGTCCGGGCTGGATGTAAATCGATCAGACCTGTCACGAAACAACTTTCTTTCTTTCTCTCTCTCTCTCTTTCTCTCTCGTTAATCTTGCGTTTCCACGAGTTTATAAATAATCGGCTCAAGTGCGCGAGGCCCGCCTCGGAAAAATAGACACCTGCGCTTCGCCCACGAGAACCGCAGCGTCTCTTCCCTTGTAATTACAAGAAAGCTCGGCGGTTCTAAATCTTACGCAATTCCGCGAGGAAGACGAGAGGAACAGAGAGAACGCGCGTGACACGCGCGTTGGGAAATATCTTTATTGCCACTCCGGCACGCGCGCGCCACGAAGAACCTTCACCGCAGATGCAATTTCAACGCGGACTATTATGGTTTAGCTTTCGGCTGACAGTCGAGCGTTACGACGAAGTTTTTGATCGAAGACGTCGCGGCGAAACTCAAGAAACTAATCGTAGGAATTTTTGAGCGGAAAATGAAGTTGCTTTTTTGGATTTCTCGATTGAGAGAAGAATAAGATCTCGAAGATGCGTTTCCACCAAAAAGTTCAAGCGAAGAGCGTTCGTTCTCTTCTCGAAAGTTTCCGAGAGAAGATTCCTCTCGTTCGCCGCAAAATCAATGCGGAGCGGATTTGCGAAAAAAAAAAACGAACGAGACATCGCTCGATGCGTGATATCGGAATGACGTTTGTACGAGCTCCGCGCGAAAGCGCATACACGTCAGCGCAGAGGGATTCCGAACCGCTTAGATGGCAGCGTCAGAGGGTAAACATCCCCCTGTGTCCCAATAGCAGACCGCTGCGTTCGGATCGATGTACGCGAAGTGCAACGGAGAACAGATGCATCAGGGACAAACATCCGACTGGCGGAACACGAAGCGTAACACTTTTTCCGGATTGAAAAACATAACATTTCAAGATCGAAAGTGTCGAAATTCTCTCTGAACGACGAGTATACTTCGAGATAGTTATCGAGAGAAAATTACTTAAATGTGAAAAACGACACCGGGAAGCGCGCACTCTGGCTTTAATGAACAATTTTTGTAAAAATCATATTTATACGTTAAACCTCTTTTTCAGGCAGAAATTTGGAAAACTGCGACAACAAGTACGCACAAAACACTCGCGTAACCTCGTACTCATTCGCGTACGCATCCATCTCAAAGAAAGCCAAGCACCGAACGATCAATTTGCTCCGCGAGCATTTCTCCCTCCCTCCCCCCTCCCTCGTTTTCTCAATTTATCGACGAAAACTGAACCGGCACTCGCGACGAAAGGATGAAAAAACGAGAAAAAAAAAAAAAAAAGAACGGAACTTCAATGCGTAAGTGCCAAACGGAAATGTCGCTCGTGCGAAGTCCGCAGTGCGGTTACGCGCTCTCTCTCTCCCTCTCTCACGATCTCTATCTCTAACACTGTCGTCGGCGATTACCTCTTCTTTCCGTATCCGACATTGTCGAGCTCGACGTGCCTGTACGTCGCGTAGGTGGCCATGACAATTCTCCCGGGATCCGACTTCGGGTTGAGAAATCCCACGAAGATGAAGAAGAAGAAGAAGAAGAGAGAGTTGCTCTGAACGACAAACCCTCGAGCGACTCTTCCTTCGGTGGTCGGTTCTTCGTCGCGAACGAAAAACTCGGAAAAACGAAGCTCTCCTCCTCGTCGAACTTGACTTTCGCGGATGATCCAGATGATCGCGGGGTTGTGCTGCGATTGAGTTTTTACTTGGTGCGGTGTCAATGCCGCGAGTCCGGGCGAGAAACTGACGGTCGAACGAGGATCCGGCCTGTATATAACGCCTCCTCCACCGGTGTGCGCGCCGCGTGCCGGTCGCTCACGTTCTCTCTCTCTCTCTCTCTCCCTCTCTCTTCCTTTATGCCACTCTCGTGTTCTTGCTCTCTCTTTCTCTCCTTCTCGCGTCTCCCTTCCCGACGGGAGCTGTGCCCCGCGACTCGCTCGCCGCCACCTCCACCGTCGGTATCCCGGCAGCGCCAGAATGCACTTCCACCCCCGTCGTGCGTTCGGAGCCAGGAGGAGACGCCGACGACGCCGACGCCGACGTCGTGCATTCACCTCAATCAATACGCTCGGCGAACCGGACCGTGGGGAGGAGAGAGAGAGAGAGAGAGAGAGAGAGAGATGGAGGAGAGAGCGAGGGGAGGGAAGAGGATCCGCCGGCGCGTAGGCATTGCTCGTTGCACATGCACGTCGCTTGCACGTGCGGAGGTAACGAGAGCGCGGGGATCGGAAGACGACATCGGGCGAGGGCGCGGATCAACGACGTCTCGTCCGCCGAGAGGGTGGGACGCTTTTTTTTTTGTCGCGGCGATCTTTGTTTCTGCGCGCCCGAGAAATCGCGTCTTCTTTCCTCTCTTTCTCTCTCTCTCTCTTTCACTCGGAGTACGTGAAACATGCGGTAAGTTTTTTACGGTGCACCGAGAGAATCGATAGTGAAGAAATAAAACGGGAGGGTGAAAAAGAGAGAATTACCGGGAGGAGATAAAATCCAAGCTGCAAAATCGAGACGCGCGCTTCGAGAGCGTTTGCCACGGGAGACCTTTTTTCCTTTTTTTTTTCTTTTTGTTTTTTTCTTCATACTTACTACTCGTCGAGAAAATTTCTCGCGACTTTCAAACTTCTTTACGTTGCGCGCACTTTCTATTCTTTGTAAATTATTTTTAGCGTATTTGCATTTCTCATCACACACGAGCGACTCGGAATATTATTTTCCCGCGCGTGTTATCGAGTTCGCGCGAGATATTTGATCGTCCTCGCGTTGAGAAGATTTGCGAGAGATCGACGCACACATGTACACACACGCACATGTAGGGAAAAAACCGTCGATTAAAAACGCTCGAGTCGCGTAAGTGCCTATCGAGATAATTACAACCGCAAACACACACGTGAGAGCCGTTTTCAAACAGAGGGGTGTCGGAAATGTAACGAGAGCGCCGCCGCCTTCGTAACGTACGATTCGCGGTCAATAAAATAAAGTCGACAAACAGATTGCGTTTCATATCTCTCGGTGCGTGCTTTCTCGAAGGCGTTTCTTCTTCGGAGAAACTATCGTCCTGGAGGATCGCCCGTCGCGACGACGACTATGTACACAAGGCATAATGATAGATAAACGTCGATAGCGTGTCGCGCGTGTCACCCGTGTCGCGCATGCGATTGAAAATTTAATACCGATGTACACAAGCGGGATGGGAGAGAGAACGGTGCAACGGACTCTGTTCGTAGGAATCGCAACATTGATGCTTAGTAGTGCGTATCGATTTATCCTATCGCTGAACTTTTTAAACGCCAAGCGAATCCGAACGCGCAGCAGCGGTCATATATGCCATTTGAATTATTTCACTCCGGTCGGAGATCAATTTCGACATCAATATTCGCGATTTTGTTCACGACTTGTACAATAAAAAAATTCATCGCGATATACTGAGTATTTCCGATGTGAAAATCAAACAACAAGTTATTTAAATTATTTTATTTTGAAAAAAAAACATTTTTTTATTTTATTTTGGTTATATTAAATTTTGACGTTAATATGTTCGCAATTTTTTTATAATCGTACGATAAAAAAAATTTTAATTTAAATTTAAAAAAATATCGTGATGAATCGTTTACAATTTTGATCAAAACTCAAGAAATTAATTTTAAAAATCAAAAACTTTATACGCAATATCAAATAAACGTCTTCGATGCAACAATCAAACACTGTCGTAAGATGCCACTTAAACGATTTTGATGATCACTTTGATCATTACATTTCGACATTAACATTTGTAGTTTGTTTTAATAATTAAAACATATATAATTGCAATATTAGGAGGTGTGTTCTGAAGCAAAAATTAAATACGACCGCGATCAAGCGGTAATCGTTATTGTTCACTGTCCGCGTCAATTTCCGTCTCGTGAAATGAAAAAAGAAAAAAGAAAGATATTGTATTTCCGCGCGAGATTATCCAACAGGAAGATATAATTACATATCGCAACCTTATAGCGTGTGGGCGGTCACGAAAAAAGTGACGTCATTATTATCTCCGCGTATATCCGCATATCTTCGGCCCTTAAGGAATCCTCGAGTTTTCTTAACCGAAACGAGAGAGAGAAAGACGTGAGACTCGAGTTATTTTCTCGTTCTCACATGCGTTCGTAATACATATGCGTTTTCGTGACTGATATACGCGCGCGCGTCCGCCTTTTAAACCTCTCGGGCGAACTTCCGGAAAACCGATTTGCGCGAAAGGGGGAATAAGCAAGAGCGGACGAAACACACGAGACTTCCGTCGGTGTCCTGTGTGTCCTCACGAGGGGAGAGTTTCTCGTCGGTCGCGCCCTTCGAGGGGGTTTGGTCCGTGCGCGTCACGACGGGATGCCCTTTACACAGGGGATGTTTTTTTCGGACCTAAACGGGCTTTTTGCGTAATTGAACCGATTAAATCACCGTCGAGTGTCCCTCCGCGTCGACGGATGATAGACGCGCATCGAGTTATCCGGATTTGAACGCCGGCGACGACCCCGGCGATTTGCTCTCCTCTCCTCTCCCACTTCGTGTCTGGTAATTTCATCACGCTCGGATACACGCGCGCGCACCCGACATAATGGGACGAACGCGTTTTACGCGCGTGCGGGACAAACTGTGCGGAATTATTTCGACAGTCCGGCGCGTCATTCCGAAAGAAACACGAATGTTGTTGCACACTTTTAATCGAGTAAAAAGTTTCGGAGAAAAGAGAAAAATGAAAAAAAGCGTGAAAGAAACATGTAAAAAGTAATTGTTTGAAAAAAAATAAATAAATAAAATAAGGAACTTGTTTTCGCGTAATTTAAAATTGCCTCGCGAGGCAATTACGTGGTGATTATTGTTTAACCGTATAACAATTTCAAACAAAACGCCGAAGTTTGAGTAATCTCATGCAAATAATCACCTGAAACCAGAAAGGATGGCTTATCTTTAAGAGTCAGAAACACGAAAGTGCCGTTTGAAAATTCTGTCATTAATGCAGAGTCGATGCCCCGCGCGATAGCACACGAAACTCGTTTCGTTCGCGCGGTGCACACAACGGTGTGTGCGCGCGCGCGCGCGCGCCAAACAACACCGCGCCCATTGTCGTTTATATCTCCGCTTCTTATTGTTGGAGAGCGAGTTCGGGGCTTTCTATTCCAGACGTCAGAAGACTTACAATATAGACACAGTGTCTAATCTCGAAAACTACTATCTTCTCATTTGTACTACGTTTAAATCCTAATTACCTGACAATGTCGTTCCGCTTTACGTAAAAGCGTTGAAAATTTGAAAATCGAGGAACGAATTTTATTTATAAGAATAAGATCATACGAGCCGCTTTGCAGGATGTTATGCTGAAATATTCTATTATATATATGTATACATATATATATGTTCACATGTAAATTTTTACACGTGTTTTTTGAATTGAAATTTCAATTCTTAAAATCATACAGTATGCTATACTTGCATCTCATGTATGAAAGACCCCGAATACCCCCCGAACTAATTTCAAAATATTGCGAAAAAAATTTTTCGCAAAACACGTGTAAAAATTTACATGTGAACATATATATATATATATACATATATACAGGGTGTTTCAGAACTATGGGATCAAACTTCTAGGGGTTATTCAGTGCAACAGTAGAAAACATTTGAGTATAGGGACCCATGTCCGGAAAAGTGTCACAACCGCACTACGGCCCTAAGACGC